AAAAAAAAAAAGATGATATTATTAGATGAAGAAATGAATTTAAACTCGGCATTTAAAAAAAATGCTTTTCTAATCAAAGTTGTTAAGAAAATAAACGTTCGTAAGGTTTGATCTGGTGCTTTTATTTTTTTTTTAATAATTAATATTTAATATTTTGAAGTGAGTAATTTTTTTCAATTTTTCAATTAGAATTTAATAAAAATTCATATGATAGTTATTCTTATTACCCTAAATTATTTAAAAATAATTTAGGGTGTCAATATTTAGATCTCTGTCATATGATGCATTTACCTTTTAACAATTTATTTCCTAAACCACTGGTTCAAAAGTTACAACCTTTTAGCAACTAAATACAGTTTCCAATTTCTCCAAAACTCGAAACCTAGTTCTCCGCAAAAGTAAAAAAAACCTTCAAAGCGCATCATAAATTCCAGATCTTAAATAAACCTTGAAAGAAAGTCTTATTAAACCCGGCTGCGAAGTAGCATTAGATTAATAAAAAACCCATCAACATCAGCATCACTATCCCGAGCGTCAGTTAATAGGTAAACAACCAGAGAGAAAGGCTACTTGAGAATTGGTGTGTGCGAATGTAAGCGAAACGAGACGTGCAATCTCATTGCCAAGGTGCTTGGTGCCTATTTCTCAATTGCAACATTCCCAATTCCTCAAGAACCAAGCTTAATAGTAGCACGATTCTTCCAGGGCCTAGATGTGAATTTGGATAAGGCGATTGTAATAACTGCTAATGACTATGCAGAAAATGACAGGCGTTAAGCCGACTAGGTTGAACAGAGGCGGTGAACGCAAGTAGAATGTATTTGGGTGGTTTGGTGGATTGTTTGCTGGAGTGGGCAAGATATCAAACCAGAGACAGTGGTGGAGGAGTGATAGGTATTAAATAGCTCGCAACCCCAGAAAGTTCCGTGTTTAGTGTCGGCCGTCGTCTAAGGACCAAGTGGTTCAATTTTAAAATTAGTGGATAGTCGAAGTTTATTTTTTTTCATGTATTTAACAGTGACTCCTGGTGATTGTTAACGGTATTGCGCCAATGAGTTGTCCCGATCAGGGAAATCAAAAGTAAGCGTAGGAGAAAAGTGACAGCAACTGTGCAGTGGCCTCAGTTGCTGGAGAGAACGTGTCTAAGACAGTTCTAGGCATTCCTAGATCTGAAAGTACTGTTTGTTATCGATTATTCCGAAGAAATCACATTTTTTATTTTTAAAATGAAATTACTGGGTGCCATTATTCTGACTCTTCTCGCAGTGGAGTGTTGGGGAACGCGAGTACAGTCAAGTAAAAAAAAAAAGGGTGAGTTTTTTTTTCGGAGTGAAACAATTATTTTTTGTGCCGATTGGAAATTTTTATTGTTTTATGTAAAGTAAGAGCTGGATATTTGTAGAAAGTAGATAAATTAGCGTGTTAATCATCGAGCACCTGTTCGAGATCCACGTGCGCGAATGTGAACCTACTTGACGGGCTTAACGGTACGGAAAACTTCATGTTTGATAAAGGCGAATTTTATTTTCTGGGCTTTGTAATGGAGAATTAAAGAAGTAGGACGGGTTGAGTTAGGCTAGGTTAGTGTAATTAAATGGGAAAGATCGGGTCAAAAGACGACCTCGCACTCCTGGGCACGATCTTCGATATGTCAGGGCATGTTTTCGTGGTCTAGAAAGGGAGTTAATGTCAATGATGCTGGTATTTAAAGAGATTATTAGAGTAGTTTGGTTTCTGGGTTATGGGATGAAATTTAAGGTTGGAAAAGATCTTAAGGACATTTTTATACTCTGAAAAAAAAAATAATTTAGAGCGCTAACTGCTCAGACTAAAAATTTCATTAAAATTTCGAAAAAAACATTTTTAACTTCCCGCTAAAAAAATTGAAAATTTTTAAAAATTAACTTGGTTCAAGAGAAAAATTCTTGAATTAAGAATATTACGGCTGTCCAATTTTAAAACACAGTAACTGCAAAATTTTTATACCAAATTTTTTTTAATATTGTTGCATTTTTTATAACTTTTAGACCTTAATTTCAAGTATTTTTTCTTAAAAATATTTATATTCAAGTATTTTCTTTTCATAAATCAAATTTTTCATCAATTTGGCAGGCAAACTTTTTTTTTAATAAAAAAATTTTCAAATGTTAGTTACTGTGTTTTAAAATTGGGCAGCCGATTATTTTGAAGAGGACAATTGGCTTGAATCAAGACAAAAAATTTTTAAATCGAGTAAAATTTTCTTAAATCAAGAATATTAAGTTATTCAAAATTATATACTTGATTCAACATCATTTTTTTCTGTGTAGAATTTGGAAGAGAAAAATTGGGAATGTTTTGTAGAGCGGGAAATTATAAATGTGATTTGATGTTGCTATATTTGGGGTAAAAGTTTTTTTTTTTTTAAACTGCAGAATCGATTTTTTGAAAAATATTTATTGCAATTTTTGAGAAAAGGCTTGTAATTAATATGGTTGTAACTTTTAAAATATTGATCATTGACAGAAGTAGCTCAAAATTTGATTTTCGACAAGTTTTGTTAAAAAAATTTTTTTTTTAAATTGATAGTTCTAAAGTTACGATCCGTTAAATAACTACATAATTTTTCCAAAATTGATCCCTTTTTTTATAGAGTTTGAGGGTTGTAATTAAAGAAGCTATATCTTCTAAAATAATAGTCCTAAAAAATTTTTATAGATATCAAAATTATTTAAAATATGATTTACAAATTTTGTTTTTTAAAATTAATAGTTCAAAAGTTACGATCCGTTAAATAACTATCTAATTTTTCCAAAATTGATCCTTTTTTTAGAGTTCAAAATTTTTAATAAAAAAGAAGCTATATCTTTTAAAATATGGATCCTACAAAAATTTTTACTTTCAAGGACTCTTGAAAGTTAGAGTCCTTGAACAACTATAAAATCTTTCCCAAAATGTTTTTTTAATTTAATTTTGAGCCTTTCACTAAATCGGCCATAACATTAAAAATATTGATTTTTTTGAAAATTTTTACTAAGACTAATATTTTCAAAATTGAATTCTCTACAACTTTTATTTAAAACTTTTTTTTTAAAATTGATAGTTTAAAATTTACGATCCGTTAAATAACTATCTAATTTTTCCAAAATTCCTCCTTTTTTATAGAGTTTAAAATTTGTAATTAAAAAACCTATATCTTTTAAGAATTGGTCCTCCAATAATTTTTGTAGCTTTAAAAATTGTTCAAAATTCAATTTCTAAAACTTTTCTTCAAAATTTCTTTCTCGAAAATTGGTAGTTCAAAAGTTAGAGCCCTTAAACAACTATCAAATCTAAAATCTAAAATCTTTTCCAAATTTTTTGCTAAATTTACTTTTGAACCTTTCACTAAATCATTCATCAAATTAAAGATATTGATTTTTTACAAATTTATAGAGACCAATATTGTTCAAAATTGAATTCTCTACAACTTTTGTACAAATCTTTTTTTTTTCTAAAATTAATAGTTAAAAAATTACGATCGATTAAATAACTACATAATTTTTCCAAAATTGCTCCTTTTTATAGAGTTTAATATCTGTAATTAAATAAGCTATATTTTTTAAAATATTGGACCTACAAAAATTTTTATAGAAATCAAAACTAGTCAAAATTTGATTTCTATAACTTTTTCCTTTAAAATTGATAGTTCAAAAGTTAGAGCCTTTAAACAACTAAATAATCTTTCCCAAAATTTTTTCTTAATTTACTTTTGAGCCTTTAAGTAAATATGAATTTTTTAAAAATTTTTACGAAAACCATTATTGTTCAAAATTGAATTCTCTAAAACTTCCGTTCAAAAATTTATCTTTAAAACCATCCATTAAAAAATGAAAACAGTTCCAAAATAACTATTACAAAAAAATCGCAAAAAACTGCCAGTAATTGTAACTCTGAATAAAAAAAGGATTATCTCCCGTCTTAAATCAGAGCCTCATTATCCAAACAATAACAGGATCAAAGAATGACAGGAAATTCTTCTTCAACAATCGGAAGTTGTCTTGTCACATCAGAAAACTGTGGAGAAAACATCTAGGTATTTTCTCTTTGGATTGCTGCACAACTACAAGTTGCATGTTCCTGAGAAAGATTTGCCAGTTTTACGACATTATATACATGTCCGCGTCTCTTTAGGGCGTCCCGCGGTCATTAAGAGCGAGAGAGACGGAATATTAACCGCGTATTAACGTATGAGTAGAAATCAGCTATCTTCCGGCTCTTAATGTCCCTCTAGCACTTTAAAACATTTATTACTCGGACTCCGTAGTGACCAAACAAAACCAGCAAGTCAACTTTCTTGAGGACTGCTATAATAAACTAAACTCCAAATACATCTAAATGGATAAATAAATAAATAATACATATGAATAAATAAATAACAGCCTCGAACTTAAACTTGTAGACATTACTGCACTTGACCAAATTTTAAGGTCAATCCCGATCCCGTTCCCGTTCCGGTAGATGTTTATTTCCACGAGATAAAAAAAATAACCCGAATTTCGATTTATACTATTTAATGTCTTAATTTATTTAATCTCGTCGTAAATCATTCTTTAATACATTATTCAGAGATTTTTTATGTTATTTATGCGTTGATATTTACATTGATCATTAATCTTTTATTTAATGCCAAAAATTTCGATCATTTATGTAATTCGATGATTTTAAAGGAAGAAAACACTATTACTATTGACCTGGAATTTTTAGTTTCTAAAATAAATTTCGGTAGAAATTTAACTACTCGAGAAGTAATCAACGGATTGCAAGAATTTCTTCCGGGGTCGAAAGCTTAAGATCTCCACAAAATTTGAAATCATTTGGACAATTATTTTAGAAGTTATCGCGAAAAAACGATCCGTACAGAAAAAATTGTGCGGATGTACGGAGTCAATATCTCGGAAACTAATCAAAAAATTAGAAAAATTCTTTTAATAATCTCAATTGTAGCAAAAAACTAACAGTTTTACAAAGTTTGATAACAATTGAACAATTGGTTCAAAAGTTATTGCAAAAAAGATTATTAGACTATAATTTTACATATTTGTAACTCGGAAAGTAATCAACGGATTATAAAAATTTCTTCTAGGGTCTCAAGAGTATTATTAGCTTGAGATCTCCACAAAATTTGAAATAATTCGGACAATTAGTTTAGAAGTTATCACGAAAAAATGATCCGTACAGAAAGATTTGTGCGGATGTACGGAGCCAATATCTCGGAAACTAATCACATAATTAAAAAAATTCTTTTAACAATCTCAATGGTACTAAAAAACTAACAGCCTTACAAAATTTGAAATCAATCTTACAATAAATTAAAAGGTAATTTATTTTACAAAAATTTCCATGACAGAAACTATAAAAATTTCTCTAGATTAACCAACCGTACAAAGTTCAATCCAACTAGTCCCAACACGGAAGATCAATGTTCGATTCCCGGCTCGAGCAAAACCAATAAATCACCGTAAGATTTCGAATTAACTAAACACCTAAATCTACTTTATTTATTTCCTTATTTTGTCGAATCATCGAGTATGAAAGTAACGTGAAATGTTTTAAATATGCTTAGCAGCGGCCGATAGCTATCGGAGTACGTGACACACGATATCTAATAGAGATAGAAAGAGCACAACGTGGTAACTGATGCAGAAACCGTGACACCGATTTTTATAGCAGACACACGCCATTAAATCTATCGAAAAACATTTACATTAGTTATTTACAATTAAATCTCATTCTTAATCTCCGAATAAATATTCGTTTATTTCGCAAAGTAGCCCGCGGCAAAAACAATTTGCGTGTCTATAAAAAAACTACTTTTACTTTTTTATCCGAAATTTCCTGCAAAAAATTAAATTATTAAACAAGTGTTTGCAGCAAAAACATCTTATTAAAACTAATAACAGGTATTTCGCGAAGTAACATAACAGCATTTATTATATTGCCGGATTATTACAATGGTCATAGTCATAGTGCAAATAATTGATATGATACGACAAAGTAGCGCAACATATGATACTTATTTATATATATTGTCTACTGTCTAGTTATCGAGTCCAGAAAAATAAAACAAATAAAATTTAATCTTACGAAAGTCTATCATAATATTGTTCTTAGCATTTCTTATTGTACACTGAGAGAACAATTTATTTGAATCAAATGAGACTCGTGTATTATAAATAAATCTCTTATTTAAATACCACTAATACTTATTTGACACAATTAAATTAATTTATTTGAGACAAAGATATGGTTTCAGTGGATTTATTTGAATGAAATAGATATTTGTTCATAGAACAAATATTTCTTTAATACTTTAAAATCATTTATTTCAGTCAAATTAGATTTGTTAACTATAAATAAATGTGATATTTGAATATCGATAAAGAAATCATGCTCTGTAATATAGTGAATAATATCTGACATATTTTTAGGATTATTAAAGCAATGAGGATGAGTTTATTTATATAATTTATATTGGGGTATCTTCTAATAAAATAAAATTATTAGATCCGAGTTGGATTTTGATAGTTTTTTTTTTCATTATTAAATTCATCAAAAATTTATGTATATATACAAAATTACTCAATTATAACAGGCAACGATAAAGGTATTAAAATTACGATAACTCAAATAGCGACAGTAGCGACACAAACGTTTTCTCAATATATTGTCTATTTATCGAGTCCAGAAAATAAAACAAATAAAATTCAATCTTACGAAAGTCTATCATAATATTGTTCTTAGCATTTTTCATTGTCCGACGCGTGAATATTGTATGGCACCTTTGTACATTATATATTGTATCACCGATATAATACAATAAGTTTACTTTCAGGACAGGAGATTATTTATTTATCGGCCGAGGGCCAATATATCTCCTTGTTACTACATTTCTGCATTACGTGCGTTTCTGCACAACATACTGTTACATAGAATGTAACTATGGCTATAAACAATAATCACAGGCATGTAGGCCTCAAGATTTAATGTTATTATTATTGTTACGGACTAAGGATACCTTTATACCCCAGTCTAAGTACACGCAACGTAGAAATGCTTCTGGGCAAGTTGCTTGATACGATAAAACTCTGTTTGTTGTTATTAATATGTTGCATTATCCGAGAAAGGTGACACAGTTTGCGGTTAAGGTTCAACTCACTCTATTTTTATTTTTCTTTTTTTTTCTCTGTGCATTCTCGAGTGTCGGCTATTTATTTTCTGTCATCTAAGACTTTGTTAACACGGAATATTTATTATTTATTTATTTATTTTTCATATATATTGTTGGAAATTTAAGAGTTTTTTTTTGGAATTTATAATGGAAATTGGAAATTAAACGGACTATTTTTGATTGCTTTGAAAAAGACGTTTTGAAAGTTAAAAGCGGGAGTTTTTAAAGGGGAGAAAGTATTTTGTGGTCGTCTGAAGTTAATTTTTTTGGAAAGTTTATTTAGTTGTTAAAATAAGTGTAACTTGAGAACTAAAGGGTTTAGAAGAAAGTTTTTGGAAAAAGTTGTAGAGAATTTAATTTATAAGAAATTTTGTTCCAAAATTTTTGTTCTAAAATTGATATTTTTGAAAATATAGCCATTTTTTTATAGAACCACAAATTTCAAATTTTTTTAAATTGTTTATTTTAATATAAAGGAGTGTAAATTTTGAACTCAGGATCTTAGAGAAAATTTTTGAAACAAATCTTGTTCAAAATTTGATTTTGGACAATTTGATTTTGTGCCAATTTCATTTTTCTAAATTCAATATTTTGGGAAAATACAACCATTTTTAGAACTAGCTCAAATATTAAATTTTTTAAAAGCATATATAAAAAGATTGTTACTTTTGAATTCTTTACTAAGAAAACAGTTTGTTTGATTTAAATTTGTAGATTTAATTAAAATATCTTAAAAATACGTATTTAATATGAACAAATTTGTTTGATTTAAATTTGGATTACTTTCAACCAAATACTATTTTGTTTTGGTTTATTAGATTGAATTCGCCGATTTATTTCATTCAAATAAGATTTGTTAATAGTTAACAAATTTCGTTTGAAATAAATCATAAGACGTTTGTGTCGCTACTGTCGCTGTTTGAGTTATCGTAATTTTAATAATACCTTTATCCTCGCCTGTTATAATTGAGTAATTTTGTATATATACATAAATTTTTGATGAATTTAATAATGGAAAAAAAACTATCAAAATCCAACTCAGATCTAATAATTTTAGTTTATTAAAAGATACCCTAATATAAATTATATAAATGAACTCATCCTCATTGCTTTGATAACCCTAAAAATATGTCAGATATTATTTACTACATTACAGAGCATGATTTCTTTATCGACATTCAAATATCACATTTGTTTATAGTTAACAAATCTGATTTGACTGAAATAAATGATTTTAAAGTATTAAAGAAATATTTGTTCTATAAACAAATAACTATTGCATTCAAATAAATTAATTTAATTGTGTCAAATAAGTATTAGTAGTATTTAAATATGAGATTTCTTTATAATAAACAAGTCTCAATTGATTCAAATAAATTGTTATCTCAGTGTTGGTTTTATAAAAAAATTTTTTGAAAAAAAAACTTGCAGAGCATTCAATTTTGAATAATTTCTATCTAAATCTCTTTTTTCTAAATTCAATAGTTCAAAAGTTACAACCTTTTTTTTTTTTCAATTTTTGAAAACCGTGTTAAGATAGATTTTTTGAGAAAAATGGACATAATTATCAATTAATTTGATTAATTATTATGAAGAAATAAAATAAATAGTAGAAAATCAGTAAATTGATGAAAAATTGCTGGAAAAATAAATTTATTAAAAAATTTTGAACTTTCTAAGGACAGATATAAAAATAAGAGGTCGCTTTCTCGATCAGTCGCGAATTCTTATTGCAGATAGATTTAAGCTGGCGTTAAAGCCATTTACGAGCAGTAAAGTTATGCGCGAACGGCAACGGCCCGTACTGAAATTACTCTCAGTTTGTTCTTGTTTACCGTGACTGATGATATTCCCGATTGTCACGGTTCCCGCGTTTGGATCTTGTGAGGCGGATTAAGAGCTCAAAACAAAATAACATGTAAATTGTAAATATCAAATAAAATGATATTTAATTTTTGAAATGAGCGACGACAACAATAACAGGAGCGTTTAATTAAAAGTAAACGAAAATAATTAAAAAACGTTCAATCCTGTTATTATATAGCTTTATATCTTTATTATGAATGAAAAATGAATTTTTTACACCTCTTTCTTTCAGCTTCCTCGGTCAAGGTCGCAGCACACGCTTTCGTTTTAAAAATAAATAAACCGTTTTAATTTATCATATAATTTAAGCCCGACCGTTTTTTTAATAATCGTCCTAAAAATTTAATCACCGGCTCAAATACAATTTCACGATATAGTTTCGTTAAATAGTTCATTTGTTATTTATATTTATGTTCATTATTTTTTTCTTTTTTTTTAACTTTCTTCCGAAGAAAAAAAACTCAGTCAGGAAATTAAATTATATTTTTCGGTTATTATTGAACGTTAATTAATTGTATAGAGGTCATTGGAAAGCTAATTTTTAATTATAAAAATTTAGGGATTTTTAAATAGGTGCAATTTTTTTGCATTTGATTTTAAAAGAAAGTTTTTAGGACAAAAGAGGCAATTTTATTCCGAATAATTTTTAAGTAGATCTACGCAGTCAAATTTTTAAAACTTCCTGAAAATTTGTAAATTTAATCTACGTAGCCTAATAATTCATAAAAAAATTAAAAAACAAGTTTCCGGGATATTTAATGAAATAATTAGGTTTAAAAATTGTAATTTTTACATGTTAATGGAGATTCCACCAGCCGTGTATTTGGTTAAGAATTTAATGCAATTAACGATTTAAAAACAATTTTATTTTCATTGAATTTGATTGAAAAAAATAATAAGCTTTCGGTTAAAACAATAAAAAAAGTAGCTTTCCGAACGTATTACGGAGATATTTTATATTTTTTATCAGTCAATTAAATGTTAACAATTATTTAGTGAGTAAATTTTTCGGAAATTTCCTCAAAAATGTTATTAATTAATTTAAAAATTAATTTTGAGATGCATAATAAAAGTATTTCTGCGTATTATTTTTTTATAGACATTATTTACACTTGAAGAGTACTTGGATCTCCTTAAAACGCATTTTTTTTGATAATTTTTTGTATTTCAAGATTGGCAACGCGGGAAATGACGTACATAGATGGCGCATAAGTAAGCGCGGGAATTTTGAAATCTACACGGAGAGAAAAATGTGGAAATCATTCCTATAATTTTAATGAAATATTTTCCTATACCATTTTAGGAGCGATTACTTAAATTATGGGAATTATACCCATAATTTTTGGGAAACGTTACTATAATTATGGGAATGGTTCCCATAATATATAGGAATAGTTTCCATAATATTATAGGAATAGTTTCCATAACATTATAGGAACCATTCCTATAATGTTATGGGAACCATTCCGATAATATTATAGGAATGATGCCAATAATATTGGAGTAATTTTTTTTCACACAACTGTGGTATTGAATTAATTACTTTTCACTAGATTTATTTTTTTTTTTTGATTAAGTGATTCTTTTTTTATAATATATAAATTGATAAAAAAAGTTATCAGTAATAATATTTATTATTATTATCATTATGAAATTAATCAGTTGCAGCAGTTGATATTTTTTTAATCTTGAAATTGTGAAAATGAACTTTACAAACTTTAACTTTACAAAATCTTTCAGAAGTAGCAGCCGATCAAACAGCTGCCTCATCATTCTGGAGCCCTGCGATAAAGACAGGCAATATCTTCAGCCAAGATGACAATTCGAACTTCTTCTCCGCCGGTCACGGATTGGTGCAAACCCACCCGATATCCAGCACCTTCCAGAGTGGGTTCGGTGGAATCGACGATTTGGGAACCCGTGGAGCCACCGTACGGCCACCTCGGACGCGCCCTCTGGACTACAGTGAGCGCGCAACCGCGGAACTGCGCAGGAACCCTTCCTTGTCAGCTCCTGATGAATGCGCACGTGCCTGTCGTGAGGGAGAACCACCCAGAATCTGCTACTACCATTTCACGCTAGAGTACTACTCAGTTTTGGGCGCTGCCTGTCAAGTCTGCACCCCGAATGCAACCAATACTGTCTGGAGTCACTGTCAGTGTGTTTTGGCTGATGGAGTCGAACGAGGAATCCTTACGGCCAACCGGATGATTCCTGGACCCAGTATACAGGTAAAGATCTCAAAATGTTCTTATTAATAACTAAAAACATTGCGCAAGTAGTGCAGAAAGTAATTTTTGGTCTAGGATTAATATTTTTAGTAAGATTAGGAAGTTAAATTGTTTTGAACTAAAAACATTGACCTGTTGAAAAAAAATTACTTTGCACACTATTTATATAAATATTCATCAGGTAAATGATAATAGTAATAGTTTTAATGATTATTTAATTATTAATTAATTTTAAAGTTACAAAAAATGCGAAATATTTATTGTAATTATAAATTATTTATATTATGAACGAAGTTTTAATTGAAAAGTATTTAAAAACCATATAACTATCATTTCATTTATCTTGCTCATAAATTTTGATATTTTTACCATAGATCGTAGTGGTACTTACTAATCATGATAAAAACATTGTGCAACTAGTGCAAAAAATAATTTTTTGTTCCTAAAACAATATTTTTACCACTATTAGTAAGTAAAGTTAAAATCCATGTTAAAAACATTGCTCCTAGAATAAAATATCATTTTGCACACTAATTAAGACTATATAACTACTGTTTAACTATCTTATTCATAAATTTTGATGTTTTTAGTTTGGATCCTAGCGGTACTTATTAATCATGCTAAAAACATTGTACAAGTAGTGCAGAAAGCAATTTTTTGTTCCCTAAAACAATATTTTTACCACTATTAGTAAGTAAAGTTAAAATTTATGTTAAAAACATTGCTCCCAGAATAAAATATCATTTTGCACACTAATTAAGAACATATAACTACTGTTTCATTTATCTTACTTATAAATTATGATATTTTTAGCATGAATCGTAGTGGTACTTACTAATCATGCTAAAAACATTGTGCAAGTAGTACAGAAAGTAATTTTTTGTTCCTAGAACAATATTTTTAGCAATATTATTCTGTAAAGTTATAATCCGTGTTAAAAACATTGCTCCTAGAGTAAAAAATTACTTTGCACACTATTTAAGACCATTTAACTACTGATTCATTTATCTTATCCATAAATTTTGATGTTTTTAGCATTAATCATAGCGGTGCTTATTAATTGTGCTAAAAACATTGTGCAGGTAGTACAGAAAGTAATTTTTTGTGTTTTTGGGAAATGTTTTTAGCAAGATTAGTAAGTAAAATTATGACCCGTCCTAAAAACATTGCCCTGTATAAAAAAAATGACTTTGCGCACTAGTAACGTTAATATTTATCAAGTATTTTATTAATTACAACTAATTAACTAATTTAAAAAAAAATATACTTAGATTTATATTTAATTATCCAAAAAATGAATTATTCCACCATAAATTTTCATTTTTAAAATAGTTTCTTCTCACTTGCAGGTCTGCGAAGGAGACAAAGTAGTGGTTGACGTAGAAAACCACATGCAGGGAATGGAAGCGACTATCCACTGGCACGGAGTCTGGCAGCGTGGAAGCCAGTACTACGACGGAGTACCTTACGTGACCCAGTGTCCTATCCAGGAGGGAAACACTTTCCGGTACCAATGGACGGCAGGAAACGCAGGAACCCACTTCTGGCACGCCCACACTGGACTCCAGAAGATTGACGGTCTCTATGGAAGCGTAATTGTCCGTCAACCACCCAGCAAGGACCCCAACAGCAACTTGTACGACTACGACTTGACCACCCACGTGGTTTTGATCAGTGACTGGATGCACGAAGACGCAGCTGAAAGGTTCCCCGGAAGACTGGCAGTCAACACTGGCCAGGACCCCGAAACCGTTTTGATCAACGGAAAGGGTCAGTTCAGGGACCCCAACACCGGATTCATGACCAACACACCTCTAGAAGTATTCACTGTGACTCCTGGACGCAGGTACAGGTTCCGATTGATCAACTCCTTTGGAAGTGTTTGTCCAGCTCAGATCACCTTCCAAGGTCATGAACTCACTTTGATTGCTACTGATGGTGAACCTGTTCAACCAGTCCAGGTAAGAATTATTCATAATTTACTAAATTACAACTTACTTGCATTGATTATTTGTTGGAACTTACAATTAGCAATGTATTAACATGTTTGGTATAATGATTAATGAGAACACATTGACAAAATCAATGCTTTGATTACTCATTTAAATTATTTACTAGATTGACACTTTTATTGATTATTCACTTCAATTCTTTAGTGCATTAAAATTTTTATTGAATAGTACTGTCAATATTTAGAAGGTTGACACTCATATTAATCATTATTTTTAATTAATTACTGTGTCAACACTTCTACTAATCATTTATGTCAATTATTGACTGTGTTGACCTTTAATGTCAATTTTTAGTGTGTTGACACTTTTATTGATCATTATTATCAATTATTGACTGCATTGACACTTATTTTGACCCTAATTGTCAATTATTAACACGTTTATTGACCTTAATTATCAATTATTAACACTTTTATCGACCTTAATTGTCAATTACTTACTGCAGTACCTTATTAATGATCATTAATGTCAACTATTGACTGCATTAACACTTTTATCGACCTTAATTGTCAAGTACTTACTCTATTACTTTATTAATTAACATTAATGTCAATTATTGACTACATTGACACTTATATTGACCTTAATTATCAATTATAGACTACATTGACACTTATAGTGATCTTTAATGTTAATTTTTAATATATTGACACTGGCATCAACTTTTATTGTCAATTATTGACAGCATTGGCACTTATTTTGACCTTAATTGTCAATTACTTACTGCATTACCTTATTAGTGATAACTAATGTCAATTATTGACTGAATTGACACTTTTAGTAACCTTTAAAGTTAATTTTTAGAATGTTGTTGTTCATGCCATTTTGGTCAGATTGACTAGTAGATATGATTCAAGCCCATAGATGGACGTTTTCATCTTCCCTTATTTTCGAAAGTTAATTTTTAGCATATTGACACTTCCATAAACCTTTATCGTCAATTATTAACTGTGTTAGCACTTATATTGACCTTAAATATCAATTATTAATACTTTTTTTTTATCTTTATTGTCAATTATTAATTGGATTGATACTCATATCGACCTTAATTGTCAATTACTTACTGTATTACTCAATTAGTGATCACTAATTGTCAATTACTTACTGTAATGACACTTAACTTGACCTTAATTATCAATTATTGCCTGGATTGACACTTGTATTATACTTAAATGCAAATTTCGTATATTGACACTCGCATCGACCTTTACTGTCAATTATTAACTGCATTGACACTTAAATTGCCCTTTATATTCAATTATTGACTGCGTTGACACTTAAATTGACCTTAATTGTCAACTACTTGCTGCATTGACTCTATTAGTGATAATTAATTGTCAATTATTTACTGCATTAAGACTTATATTGACCTTTATAGTCAATTATTGACTACATTGACTTTCCTATTAACCTTAATTGTCAATTATTGACTGCATTGATACTTATGATGACCTTCATTATCAATTTTCAGTATATTGACACTCGCATTAACCTTTATTATCAATTATTAACTGCAGTGACACTTATATTGACCTTAATTCTCAATTATTGACTGTATTGACACTTTTAGTGACCTTTTTACCCAATTATTGACTACATTGACTCTACTATTAATTTTGATTGTCAATTATTGACTACATTGACACTTATATTGTCCTATTTATCAATTTTTCGTGTATTAACACTTGCTTCAACGTTTTTGTCAATTATAAACTGCATTGACACTCATATTCAACTTAATTGTCAATTATTCACTGCATTGGCGCTTGAATTGACCTTTAATTCCAATTTTTAGTATGTTGACATACTAAAAATACTTCCCAATGAAAATTAAAATCAATTATCTACTGCATTAACATTTTCAATGACAATTAATTTCAATTGTTTCCTGAATTAACACTCCCTATCATTAATTACAAGTTTCCACAATAAAACTTTCTATATTTAAAGAACCTCTTCAATAATTTTCTCAAATTTCAACCCAATTTCTCTCCAGGTCAACACAATCATCTCCTTCTCTGGAGAGCGTTACGACTTCGTAATCAACGCAGACCAACCAGTCGGCGCGTATTGGATCCAACTCCGTGGATTAGGAGAATGTGGAATAAAACGAGCTCAGCAATTAGGAGTGCTTAGATACGCGAGAGGACCTTACCAACCAGCCAGCCAGCCACCAACTTACGACCTAGGTCTTCCTCAAGGAGTAGTCCTGAACCCGCTTGACGCAATCTGTAACATGCCGCGTGACGACGCCGTGTGTGTAAACCAACTTAAGAACGCCAAGCCAATCGACGAAGGAATCTTGCAAGCCAGACCTGATGTCAAGATCTTCCTGCCCTTCAGATTCTTGTTCTACAGACCTGAAGAAGTCTTCCAACCCAACACCTACAACAGGTTCTTGGTAGCGCCCACAGGGGACCATGTAATCTCGCTGGTCGATGAAATTTCCTTCACCTTCCCTCCAGCACCTCCACTGTCCCAAATTGATGACATCCCACCAGAACAATTCTGTAACGGAGACAACAGACCTGCTGATTGTGGAGCTAACTGCATGTGCACGCACAAGGTTGATATTCCTCACAACGCTATCGTAGAAGTCGTTCTGGTTGATGAAGTCCAGCAGCCCAATCTCTCGCATCCGTTCCATCTTCACGGATATGCTTTCAATGTTGTGGGAATGGGAAGGTCGCCTGATAAGAATGTCAAGAAAATCAACTTGAAACACGCACTGGATCTTGATAGACGTGGGCTTCTTCACAGGGAGTTTAATTTGCCGCCTTCTAAGGATACTATTGCTGTGCCGAACAATGGATATGTTGTCTTCAGATTCCGAGCTGATAATCCTGGTTTGTATTTTTTGGTCTTTGCGGTTTGGGTTGTGCACTTTTAATTGTTTAATTCTTTTGGGAGTGATTTTTTATAAATGTTTTAAATGATTTGAGTTATTGTATTTATCTTTGGAAATATTTGGGGTAGTTTAATTACTTTAAAGAGTTCCAAAGGTTCTAAACGATTATTTAAAATTTTTAGAACAAGATAAAATCTTGTTCTTGGAACTTATCTTGTTCTTAGAACAAGATAAGTTTTCAAGGTTCCAAACAATTATTTAAAATTCTTAGAACAAAATGAGTTCTTAGAACAAGATAAGTTCGTAGAACAAGATAAGATCTTGTTCTTGGAACTTGTCCTGTTCTTGGAACAAGATAAGTTCCAAAGGTTCCAAACGATTATTCGAAATTCTTAGAACAAGATAAAATCTTGTTCTTGAAACTTATCTTGTTAATGGAATTGTATTGTTCTTGGAACTTGTATTGTTCTTGGAACTTGTATTGTTCTTGGAACTTGTATTGTTCTTGGAACTTGTATTGTTCTTGGAACTTGTATTGTTCTTGGAACTTGTATTGTTCTTGGAACTTGTATTGTTCTTGGAACTTGTATTGTTCTTGGAACTTGTATTGTTCTTGGAACTTGTATTGTTCTTGGAACTTGTATTGTTCTTGGAACTTGTATTGTTCTTGGAACTTGTATTGTTCTTGGAACTTGTATTGTTCTTGGAACTTGTATTGTTCTTGGAACTTGTATTGTTCTTGGAACTTGTATTGTTCTTGGAACTTGTATTGTTCTTGGAACTTGTATTGTTCTTGGAACTTGTATTGTTCTTGGAACTTGTATTGTTCTTGGAACTTGTATTGTTCTTGGAACTTGTATTGTTCTTGGAACTTGTATTGTTCTTGGAACTTGTATTGTTCTTGGAACTTGTATTGTTCTTGGAACTTGTATTGTTCTTGGAACTTGTATTGTTCTTGGAACTTGTATTGTTCTTGGAACTTGTATTGTTCTTGGAACTTGTATTGTTCTTGGAACTTGTATTGTTCTTGGAACTTGTATTGTTCTTGGAACTTGTTCTTGTTGTTAGAACAAGATAAGTTCCAAAGGTTTGAAACGATTATTTAAAATTTTTAGAACAAAATAAGATCTTGTTCTTGAAGCTTATCTTGTTCTTAGAACGAGATAAGTTCCAAAGGTTCCAAACAATTATTTAAAATTTTTAGAACAAGATAAGTTCTTAGAACAATATAAAATCTTGTTCTTGGAACTTGTCTTGTTCTTGGAACTTGTATTATTCTTGGAACTTATATTGTTCTTGGAACTTGTTCTTTTTCTTAGAACAAGGTAAGTTCCAAAAGTTCCAAGGAATTACTCAAAATTCTTAGAACAATTCGAGAATTTCAATTCGCCATATTATTCCAAAAATTGCAGTAGTTCGATAATTTCGAATTGTTACCAAGATTATCAAACAACTCAAATTTTTGGAACAATTTCAAGTAATCGTACTTGAATCTTTGGAGTATAAAAAATAATTGAAATTTTAGAATTTCAATTAATTCAAGCAGTTTGATAACTTTAAATTGTTCTCAAGATTTGAGTGGTTTGATTTCTTTGAATTTTTCTTGGAACAATTCGAGAATTTTAATTGTTTATAATGTTCCAAAGATTCAATTACTTTTAATTATTAGAACAATTTAAAGTAATTGAACTACTCTATCCTTTTTAATTCGACAAGAATATCAAATTAAATCTTACCATTAAAATAAATTATATAATTAAAATTCCAAAACTTTGTTCCAAAATTGAAAATTCTCCAAATATTCTAATTTTTTTCTGAATTAGTTTAAATTTCAACATTTTACAACAAAAAATCACCAAATATCTACAATTACCCACAAATTCAAGCACAACCATCAAAAGTGTGCAATTCTTACCATCTTAACCTCCAATTAAAACAAAACTAACCTAAAAATTTGTTCCAAAAACAGGATACTGGCTGTTCCACTGTCACTTCTTGTTCCACATCGTGATCGGGATGAACCTGGTGCTTCATGTGGGTACCCACGCAGATTTACCACCAGTACCACCAAACTTCCCGACCTGCGGTGACCATTTACCACCGATAACGCCGCCACTTGCTCTGGATAGTCCCTTCCATTGAGGATCTGTAACTTTAAATAGGAAATACTTTTGTAAAATAGTTTAATCGTCTAGCGGAAGATGTCCAAGTCCAATAAGTACGTTTGTCCCTCAGTCCACGATGGGATTTACAAATGCGGATTATTTATTAACGGTCTAGGTTTTTCGAGTTAGCTTCTTTAATTTCGAAAAACAATAAAGACCGATATTATTCTAACACTGTGTAATTCTGTAAATAATCTAGGCGTAATTACTGTGTATACATTATGCATACATTATTATTAAATGCAGAGTAGTAGGAAATTTATATGATTGTAATAATTTTATTTTTAATGTTTTTTTTTTTTTTTATATAAATATATACATAGTTTTAATTACTAACAGAGTGTTAAATAATTGAGTGCGCGTGATGTGTGTATTCAATTGTGTAAAATTTACAACGCAATAGAGTATCGATTTTTTAATCCAATTTATTAATTAATGTTAATTAAATACTATTGCTATTATTCATTTTAACCTGCTACTCTCGACTGTCATTCATTTTGTTCTCGATTGAGAATTATTTTTTAATAATAAAGTTGTTTTTTTAAAATATATATTTATTTATTTATTTTCATTCCCATTTTTTTAGATTATGGTTTATGGGGCAGTCCATGCGAAGGATAATGTCTAAAATTTTAAAATTTCTCTAATTTAGTCCTAATTTATTATTAAAAGTTTATATTTTACTAATTTGTAAAGAAAATTTTTTTTAATCAATAAGAAAATCGATTTTTCTCTCCTAGTAACTTTTCAGCCGTACTAACTTGTATCCGGGACAAATGTTGTTTTAATAGTTTTAACAACAAATTCATTTTATGTTTGTTATTAACTAACATATTTATTATTATAGTTTTAAGAACATATTTTTTTATGTTCGTTATTAATTAACACCTAAGTTTATCAAGATCGTGTTGTCAGCATGCTAAATCCTTTATTAGTTTTTTTTAATTATCCTAAATAATTTATAGTTAAATATATAAACAATAATGTTTCTAAGGTTGAAATAATATAAAAGTCTTTTTAATAAACAACTTGACGTAGACATTTTGTACTTGTCCCACCAGTCACAAATGCCTGTCCCACCAGTCACAATAAAAACAAATTTTTTTAATTGTTTCTACGTAGGTAATCAGTCTAATTCTTCATAATATTGAATGTTTGTAGGATTAATTTAGTATTTTCGAGGGAAGTATTTTTTTTTAGTTTGATGGTCGAACTGAAATTGGACTTTAAGTATACCTTTGGTAAGAGAGAAGGATTTGTTCTTAGTCCCACCAGTCACACTCAGTCAAATGATAATTACGAGAAACTTAAAAAGTAATCGAGGTTTTTGACAAAGTGATCTTAATTAGTTATTCTTCTGTAAAAGATAAATTTTACTGTAGTATAAATTTCAGTCACATAATTATATATAATTGATGGAATTCCAGAGTCAAATATCCCATCAGTCACTATGGAATGCCGCTTATGTAAAAAAGAATTTTTTTTAATGTAAGGTAAAAGCCCTAATTATTGACAGGGATCTAAATATTGACACCCTAAATTATTTTTAAATATATTTAATCATCTGTAATAAGAATAACTATCATATAAATTTTTATTAAATTCTAATTAATAATTATTAAAAAATAAAGTTAGCACCAATTAAAACCAGCTTACGAACGTTTATTTTCTTAACAACTTTGATTAGAAAAGCATTTTTTTTAAATGCCGAGTTTAAATTCATTTCTTCATCTAATAATATCATCTTTTTTTTTTTTTTAATTAACAATATTCAAAAAATTTATAAAATTGAATAATCGAAATTAATTGTATGCTTTATAATATTTAAATAATGGGTGTCAATAACTAGTTGATAATTTTTAAGTTGAATCTCATATTGACAGCCATTCGACAGCGCTATCACGCCTTTTTTTGACTTTAATCTAAAAAATTAACTGTAAGAGTTTGAACTCTTCTGATTAAATAAATTATTTTTAAATAAATTTTTATATTTTTAAAAGTAATTAATCATTTATGGAAATTATTATTAATAAACTTTAATAAAATTGATTACTTAATAATAAGTTTGGATAAATAAGACTAAGCAGATGATTGTAGGCATGCTTAGTATAGGTGTCAATAATTGGGGTGAAGGTATGTCAATAATTAGATCAATCAGTTTTTTAACCTGCCAATAATTGGTGTATCCGGATAATCTATTTAATTATTTAAAATTAATTAGTAAATATCAGTGATTATCATTTTAAAAAATTTGATTAGTAAAAACATTACTTGAGACATTACCACTAACAAAATTCAACGATATTGATATTTGATTACTTAAAAAAAATCAAATCATAACTTTGTCTCTAATAGTGTCAATAATTGGAGCTTTTACCTTATTTTAAGGTAGTACCCTCGCCAGAGGCGTTTTTTTAGGAATTTTTTAAAATTTTGGCAGATTAATATTCATATAATTCTGCATCGATTGACGCAAATTGAAATTTTTTGACCATCTAGTTTCAGAGATATTTAATTTCAAAGTTTGAATTTTTAGAGGAGGTTATGCATTGTGATATACGGGATACCGAAAATTTTACTCGTATATTTTATTATAACTAAGAAACTTTTTTTAAGATTTTCATAAAAAACTAAAGTACTATATTAAAAAACAGCTATTATTTGTTTTTTTCAAACTTTCATTGATTTTTACCATCTAGATTTTTAAATATTATTAAAAAATAACCATGAGTAGAAGTGAGTAAGGAATAGCAAGTGAGAAAGACAAAAATATCCTAAACTATACCCAAATTTACTCGCACTATATGTCGCGAGGGTACTACCTTAATAGTTTTTAATTTGATTCTTTTTTTTCATAAATTTCATTCATTGTTCGAAAAACTTACCTATCTACTTCATTCTCATCAATCATATCGAAATAAAACTCGTAATGAGTATAGCCAATGACTTTGGGTTTTACCAAGATAACCGAACTGCGTCTTAATCTGCTATCAATTAAGCCAGATTTCAATCAGTAGCTCGTGATCTGATAACATTTTTAAACAAAGCATACAATCATTCTGATAACGTTCAAGTAGGTAAACTATCCAAAAATAGAAAAACTAGCATATAGTTATACGTGCCAATTCAACTTTTCCATGAAGACTCCAGAATCGAGATTTTGGATCCCAAATCTTTCGTAATTCCAAAATTAACAAACATGCAAATCAGATATTATATCCATATCCGCAAATCTAAATCAGATAATCAAGAAAACCTTCTTTTCCTTAATTTAAAAACATATCTGATGAAAATGAAAACGTTATCGATCATTGTACCAGGGTGTCCGGTGTCAATCACTTCCTAGCAGTATATAAACTCTTGCAAATCATGAAGATGCATCAAGTGTAGCTTTGAGTAAGCAGAGCAACAACAGAGCATCAACATGCAGCCGATTTTCTTTGGAATTCTCGCAATAATTGCCCTTGCAAGTACTAATGCAAGGGAAATTCCTTCAAGAGTAGTCGGCGGTGAAGATGCTGCTGAAGGAGCTCATCCTTGGCAAGTTTCACTGAGAAAATATAACTCTCATTTTTGTGGAGGAGTTATTGTTAACGAACGCTGGATTTTGACTGCTGCTCATTGCATTGTTTAGTAAGTTTTTGATTTTTTTTTTATCAAGATTCTCTTTTTAATCAATAATAAAAACAATAAAATAATAATAATAATGATAATAATAGTAACTTTTTTTAAAATTCAAGCATTATTATTATTATTATTATTATTACTAATAATACTATACGTGACTTCCGTGACTTTGTGAACTATAAAAAATTAAAATTTTGTTTTATTAAATAACGATTTTGGTTAAATTGCACTGTATTTTCTTAACTATTGATGTTTTTAAAGATATAAGCTCATCTCGATGCTACTCTCATCAAGAGCTTTCATTTGAGTACCCACATGCATTTTTTATATATTTGTCATATATACATATATATAACATATATTTTAAAGATATAAGCTCATTTCGATGTTACGTTACACTCAACAAGAGCTTTCATTTGAGTACCCACATGCATTTTATATATATATAAATATATGAAAAATTGATATGGGTACTCAAATGAAAGGTCTCGATAAATGTAACATCAGGATGAGCTTATATCTTTGAAAATGCCAGTAGTTCACGAAATATAAGGTCATTTCTTAATTATTGACATTTTATAAGATATAAACTCATTTCGATGTTACACTCATCGAGACCTTTCGTTTGAGTACCCACATGACATTTTTGATATACTTTATATATATGGTATTTGTGAAATATATAATATATATAAAATATATGAAAAATTGATGTGGATACTCAAATGAAAGGTCTCGATGAGTGTAACATCAGAATGAGCTTATATCTTTAAAAATGTCAATAGTTCACAAGATACAAGGTCATTTCTTAATTATGTATTCAGAGCTAGAGTATTTTCGAACTCAGCCTAAATACTTATCCTGGAGACAAAATTTTTCTTTCTTAATAATATAGATCATTATTATTATAATTATTGTTATTATTTAGTTTATAATCACAACTAGGTAAAAATTGGTGTTTATAATAATATGTAATAATAATAATTATAATAATATTCCAGTCAAAGCGCAGCTTCCATCACTGTGGTGACAGGAACGAACCGTCTTTCAGAAGGTGGAGACCATTACCAAGCCAAGACCTTGATTGCGCACAAAAAATACAATTCGATGGTCTTCAGCAATGACATTGGGATGATCATGCTTGATGAAGACATCACTTTTAATGACAAGGTCCAGCCAATTGCCTTGCCGTCTGCCGATGACCGGTACGAAGAATATCCAGCCAAGCTTTCAGGATGGGGAACCACCAAACTCGGTGGATCTCTACCAGACAAGCTCCAAGAAATTGAGTTGATGGTCATCACCGAGACTAAATGCCAGAGTTATCACTCTATGGTCAGCGCCGGACACATTTGCACTTTGACCCAGGCGGGAGAAGGCGCTTGTCATGTAAATGTTTTGAAAAACGCAAAATTTTTATTTTATTTATAAAATTTGTTTATTAAATTTTGAATTTTAAATTTCAGGGAGATTCTGGCGGGCCCTTGACTGCTGATGGGACTCTGATTGGCTTGGTATCATTTGGACGTCCTTGTGCGGTTGGATACCCAGATGTCTACACCAGAGTTTTCTTCTACTTGGAATGGATTTCCGAGACCATGCAAGCGAAATACTAACGCATTTAATTTTTCTACTTTGTATTTTTATACGCCGAATTTTGTGTTTAAAAAATTTGTCATTCTTTTATAAACAACAAATTTTTGATGATCAATCATTAACTAGCAACCTTGCAGTCACTATGTGACTGCCGTGACTTGTGAACTATAAATAAATGAAATTTTGCTTTATTAAATAATGACTCTTATTAAATTTTACTGTACTTTCTTATTAAATATTGACGTTTTTAAATATATAAGCTCATCCTGATGTTACACTTATCAAGAGCTTTCATTTGAGTACCCACACGCATTTTGATATATTTTTTATATATTCATATATATAT